AGCAGTAAAGGGGCTTTGTAAGCCCCCTCCCACCACCTGAACCCCCTACATTTTCTGATGTATCCTTTGCTGTAATTAATTACGTGTCCAGTGGGCTCATTTCTTTCATACTCTTACCGCCAATCTGTTAGATAAAGGGAAAAAAAATGCTTTAGTGCCCTGTGGTATTGAAAGTGAAGGGTTTTCACTCTGTCAGGGTAATGAATTCTGCACGGGTTTGAAGCACCTGAGCTTGGGGAAGTCCTTGTGTCATGTTTCTGGGAATGACAACCCCCAGTGGTTAATTACTGCCATGGATGAGAGCTGAGCTGATAGCAAAATGAGATAATTTCATTACTAGTTAAATTTGAAGTTAATTGGATTCACGTTTACACAGAATAGTGTACAAAGACACACTTGGAAATGCTCTTTGCCACCTTTTTATTTTTTTTAAAGGTAGATAAACTGAGGAATACTTCTAAACTGCTCCCACTTTTTTTTTTTTCACTGCAGTTTGGACACAGCAGAATCCTTTGCTGTCACAGGCTGCTCTCTGTTCCAGCTTGTCCTGCAATGGGAACATTTGCTGATGCTCAAGCACTGCTTGCCACATCTGCTCAGGGGGTGATGCTAAGCTCTTCTAAAGCTAGTGGCAAAATTTCACTTACGGAAGAAAATTACTTATTTGCACTTTCTTTACTAAATGATAGTTTGCTCTCATTGTGAGTGCTGCCAGTTCCTGGTGAATGGAGGGACGGACATTTGTTGACTATCTTCTGTTTACAGAGCCAAGTCCATTGACATGTGGCTTTACCATCCAGTCCCCTAGACTGTTGATATTGTTATTATTCAGTATTGTCATATTCTGGTTTTTGGAGTAATGTGGGATGAATTCTGGCAAGGACATGCCTAAGGCTGGAAATGATGTGCAACTTGTTGGCCTTGTGCAGTGAGCCCATGGTGGCCTGTGTATGTGCAGGAGTGTTTGTAGCAGAGGCATTTACTCCACTGCCCCCAGCAGTAATCCGTCGCTGGTGTTCTCCCTAACACATTTTCCCTCTGGGGGAGAATGAGAGATGGGTCAGCACTGCCTTGCTGATGAGCCCATTGGAGGTGCTCACCAGTGATGCGAAAGAGCTTGATGAGGTGGTCTGGAAGAGGCGGCAGGGTGAAGAAGATGGCAGGGTCCTGGCTGCATGAGCACCAGAGCTGCTGTGTGCTCTCTCTATCGTGGAGGTGTACCAGTCTCAGGTCAGCAAGTACCACTGAAGGTACTGGTACTGCTGGGGCTACCAGCTTCTCAATGGGGAGGCCACTCCGGGCAAGACTCAGCAAGATATTTTGGTAGTTGGTGCTTAATAGTGTTGTCAGAGGCTGTTGGAAAGAGGTTGGTGCTTATCTTGGAAAATCCTGTTCTCTGCTCCATTTGAGCCTCTCTGTAGGCTGGACCTGCCACCTGATTTGCTCTGTCCTGCACAACACCAGCCCAGTGAGGCAAGGGGGCAGCTCTGCCCCATCTCCAACTTTAGGCATCCAAAATAACCTCCAAAAAGTTTAGAATAAAAACATTTAGGAGCAAGTGTGTCTTGAAGGACCTTGCTCTCTATGTCTGTGTGCCCCACTGGTAAAATGTAGGTGTTCCGTTCCTCTTGGCTGTTTTGCCTGAATGGATAGGGCAGGAACAGAACACCTTGGGGCAGAGACTACTTCTTACTCTCTCTTTGTGCCTGGTGGATTAGTGTTTTTCTCTTAAATCAATTATTTCAGTGCAATTGAAGCTTGACAATATTGGGGAAAAATCTCATAGAATGACAGAATATGATGAGTTGGAAGGGAGCCACAAGGATCATAGAGTCTGACCCTTAACCTTGTGCAGGACCATCCCCAAGAGTCACACCATGTGCCTGAGACTACTGTCCAAATGAATCTTGAACTCTGTCAGGCTTGGTGCTGTGACCACTTCAATGTTCCAGTACCCAACCACGCTCTGGGTGAAAAATCAGAGGGTGCTGGGTACTGGAATAGATGGGATGTTCCAACCTTTTTTTTGGGGGGGGGGGGTACATTGGATGCAATAGACAGGGCGAGGTGGGATTGAGCACTTGCAGCTATGCCATTGGTCACCTTTGGCCAGCCCCCCAAGGCACTGCCTGAGCCCTGGCTGTGGGGAAAGATTTGTCGGCTGATGACAGAACATTTAATTTGGAAATGGGATGTAGTGGAAACCAGCCAAACCTGTGGAATACACTGTAAGTGGTGTTTCCTTGATTCACTAAAGACCAGAGGTCTTGCTCTTCATGCTGTAACCAGCTGTGGTTGCATTGCTCGGTGCCCTTGATAATGATGCTAACTGTGCTGATTGTGACAGTGGCTTTGGAGAAAGTGGAAAATTTGTAGTATTTCAAAATATTGAAATAAATTGCAAGTTTTTCTTAATAGCTGTTAGAAAGTGAGGAGTGGGGAGTAGTCAGTGTGGAGCAGTTCAGGAAGGAGAGCTCACTCACAGGCCAAGGCACCTTTGGGACAAGAGGCGTCATGCCATCGTGCAGCAACACCACACTGCTGAGGAAGGGAAGAGCCACGGTGTCACTCCTGAGTCTATGGAGGGTTCCTGGATGACAGCAGTCAGGCTGTGAGGTGTTTGTCTGCATTAGGGACAGTCCTTAACTGAGTCCCTGCCAGCACTGGGTCTGAACTTACCTTCTGTGACTTGATTTAAGTAGATAGCAGATACTTTTGTCTTCTCCAGGCTGCAGAGATGACACAATCAGAATTTAATTTTATGTTGGAGAGAAGGAAGCAGGGCAGTGATGAGGGGAGAACATTTTAATCTGAAAGAGCCATTTTCTCTCTGCATTGAATAATTAGAATTCATGATGCCATTCCATGAGGGATCCGACTTCTCCATAGAACTGGAGAGCAAATTAATCAATTGTTTTGAAACTTAAATTCTTTCAGAATGTGAATGCACCATAAATATTCTGTAGGAAGGGCCTGAGAGAAACAGTGTGCATCCCAGTTTGTGGATGCAGAGTGCTTAGTAAAGTGGGGCATGCGCTGAGAGATCACTGCAGCGATGCTAGAGTTTTGGCACAGACCCCTTTATCAGAGGGCAGGGGGGAAATGGCCTTCCTGGCCATGGCCCAGGGACTGTAAGCTGCAATTTGCAATAACTCACGTACTTTTCTCTTATCAAAGGACGTCTCATTTCTTTGAAAGATATAGGAAAAAAAGAAAGATTTTTAAGTTTATTTTTAGATCAGCTCAAAATGAAATTGTGGCTCAAAATTGCTACCAATCTAAAAAGTTTAAAAAAAAGGTTTTGGCTTTTGGGAAAACATTCAGTTTCAACCTCTTCAAGCTCCACAGACTTGAAAAAAGTTCACTGACATAAAAACAAGTGCCTGCAGAAAGCAGTGTGAAAACCAGAATCTGTGCATTTCTTCTTGTCAGTGGTGGTAAAATCAACAAAACCACATTACTTTTCTTCCTGATCCAACATGCTACATTTTGATGAAGGAACCTGCACTCACTGTGATTTTTGCCCAACTTATGGGCTGTTTTCAGCCACCAGGATCTTGGAGCTAGGTGGAGCCAGAGTGGTTCCTGACCTGTAGAGGCTGAAACAGCAGGGGTTCATCCTTTGGGCCAAGAGCTGCCTGCATGCAGGGTCCCTTGCCTGAGGTGCACACTCGGATTTTCAGAGCTCAGCACCCGTGCAGTGTCTCTGCTCCTGAACTATGGTTTGGCTGTGAGGGTCGTCTCGTTCCCCTCATCCTTGGAGGAGCCACTCAGCAATCCTGGAGGCCCTGGAAGTGCAGGGGTGGTGGACTGATGGGACAGGTCCCCATACGAGAGTGACGCCCTGAGCAACTTGTGTGATACTCACACTGGGAAGGGATTGCAGGGCCTGCATCCAACTGCTGGCCCAGCTGTGATGCTGCAGGTTTAATGCTACCAGGCACCTGAGTGTGTCTTGAAGGCCACTAATCTCTGGGTAAGTGGTCTGCTCAAGGATGCTGTGGGAGTCCAGAAGACCATGAGTGAGCTCCAGGAGTCCCTCTGGGACAAGGGATGGATCCTACCTGGTGAGATCACGGAGCATCAGTTTCTAATGGAGGGTCACTTTTGGCTACTGCCATTACCAGTTTCCCTGAAATTCCACCGTGGCAGCCTGAAGAGATGGTGACTATCCAGTGACTATCATATGGGACCAGGATCCAGGCAGGATTGAGGCGTCACTTCTGCGGTGCTGCGCGAGCCATACTGTGTTTATTCTGCCCACAGTGCCATGTGCCGTGAGGTACTGGGAGCTGTTTCTGGGAGGGCAGGAAGGAAGACAGGCCCAGGGGCAGAGGGAGATGGAGAACACCTCCACTGCTTGTTTTTGTGGGGTTATTTCTATGGAAGACCTGCGGGTACTTGATTAAAAAAATCATGTTTCTGCAGCTTAAGGAAAGAGCATTGCATAAGGCTGTGTTTGGGAATCTGACTCTTCTTCTGGCACCACAGCAAGCTGTATTTTAAACCACTTTCCTGTCTTAAGGTCTTGTGTTTGTCCTTTTTTTTTTTTAACTGCTTTAATGAGTGGCATCCTCCATTGTATTTAGATAGCAAACATCCTTAGCCTGTGCACTGTGATTTTCTAGAGAGTTTTCTGAGAAAGTGTCTTTAAGATCAGTGTTATTTACCATTTCACTGTTTCTGACTTTACAAATCTAAGCTTTGGAGGAATTTGGGAATAGGGGCAAGCAGCCAGAGTTCAATCGGGTGCATTAGTCTCCCTGCAGAGCTCTGCTCTTCCCCTTCCCGTCTCTCACTTCATTGGAGCTTTGTGGCAGCTTATAGAGAAAAGAAAACTGTGCCTGCCCTCCCTGCCAGCCTGGAAATCCCATGCTGGTCCTCACAGAGTCGTGATGACAAATGCATGGCTGTGTTCTGGGTGCTTGGGGAGATGTAAAACCATGTCCGCTTGCCGCAATGCTCACGTGGTGATTTGTTGGTTTGATTCCTCAGGTCGCGAGCTGGCAAGCACAACCCTCCCAGGATACCCTCCTCATGTCCCTCCTGCTGGACAGGGCAGCTACTCCACTCCAGCGCTGACAGGAATGGTGCCTGGTGAGTCTTCAGAAGAGGGAGGGGAAGAAAAAATAAAAGGAAAGAAAATAGCATTTCAGGATGGAGGCTTTCTGTGGATGTTCTGTGCTGAGGAGAGCATGAAGCAGAAGCCACAATGCTGAAAGGGAAAGGGGCTGTGGAGTGTTCCTGAGTAAAGCAGGACCAGGCTCCCTAGCACAGGAGGTCATGCAGCCTGCAGAGTGCCAAAGTAAGGCATTAGCACTGGGATACTGAAGGAGCTTCCAGCCTCCCTTCTGTGGACCATGAAGATTGTCCCATGTTGGGCCATGCCAGGCTCTTCCCATCTGATTCAGGCTTTGCTCTAACCCACCTGTTTTCTCCCAGCACACTGTGTCCCTCTCTGCTGCCTCAGAGGTGAGGTCACTGACCCCGGGGGCTGGATGTGTCTCAACATTCTTGTGTGCAAACTCGAGTCCTGGGGACACTGAGTTGTTCCCAGGACACCGTATTTTTGTAATTTCCTTCCCCTTTTGGAACCTTACAGTGAGAAATGCAGGTGGCATGAGCCAGCTGGTGGCCACTGCTTGCCTGTATGGCATCAGGAAGGGGGGTTGTGCAGGTATCTGGGGTGGGCAGAGCAGGATCTGCAGGTTGGTCACATCGTTGGTGTCACCCAGCTGCAGATCTGTGCACAATCTAAAATAGGATGGTGACATCCAGGGCTGGCAGCAAGCAATGATTGGGACACAGCAGTGGGAGTACTTGCTCTTTTGTCTTTTCTGGGGAGTTACCAGCTGTTTGGGAGCAGCTGCCAGGGTGGGATGGTGAAGCTGCAGGACGTGGGGCTTGGTGGTGCTCAGCCCGAGGAGTGTGCTTTGGTGATGTAGAGTCATCTGAGCTGATTTTCCCAGCTAATAGATTTTATTTTTAACTACATATAGGCTTCTGTGACCCATTATATTGAATAACTGCACTGTTCCTCTCACTGGTTCCTTTAATAACAACCTTCTGCTCCAGCTAGTGTGAAGGTCAGCTGCAATTCCTGTAGGTTCTCCATCTCATTTAAGTGAGAATTTGCTAACTAGCATTCAAAATGCCTTCTCAATTCTTCTTTGACTTCTGTCCTTTGCAGGATCACTCTCAGAGCCTTGCTAGAGAAAACACTGCAGTCCCCAAGGGGCTGATGGTAAGGCAGGTGACAGACCCGGTCTGGTGCCACTGGCACATCCCTACTTGTTCCAAAATGGCCAAATTGCCATGACCGAGCATGGGCACATGCTTGTTGTGCCAGCTCTCAGGGATTCATCTCACGACTTGTGTCTGCCTTGTACTCATTTTTGGAGCCTCTGCTAGAAATCTCCTTCCTTGATAAGATTTTTAATCATAAGCCATGAATTTCTGCTCATAATTAAGCAATTGTGTGAGTTAAGTGCTTAGAGACATGGGAGAAACATATACATCATAAGACATAGGCAGTGTTTTGTTGCATGCTTGTTGCTGCTGCCATTGCTTCTGCTGCTGTGAGTAAACCTGGCCCTCAGCACACTGCAGGTGTTCATCTCCCACTTTCTGGTGTCTATAGCTGCCTGTGGGGTAGGGGAGACCCTCTGGCTTCTGCTTCAGCTGGAGACAGCATTTGCAAGCTGTGTGGATTCAGCTTTGTACTCAGTGCTTATCTCTTCACCAGCTGCCACACTGCTCATCCCAACAGGAGCAGTGTTGTCCCCTGCCAGACCCAGGTCCTTCCCTGTCTCTCATACAGGCAAGAATGCACATAGGAGCCTGTCTCTGCTGCATCTCCGTGCCTTGTTCAAACACGTGCTCTACGATTTCACATCTCCTTGCTCCCTTTCCTGCAAAACCAGGGACTTGCATATCAACACGGAATTTCCATTTCTATGTGGCTTGTGAATATCTGCCATGGCAGACAATAAACCATTCAAATACTTTTCTCTAAAGGAATCAAAAAAAAAACACATGGCTTTGATTTCAGCCCAGAGCTTTAGCTTTAGGAACTGAGAGCTAGCATGATTCGAGGCTCCCATGAATGCGTTCTCTCTGAAGGTCACTGGTCCTTCTCCCTTCTCCTGCCTTTTGATGGCTGTCACCCTTTAGAGGTGACTGGAAAGGAGCTCTCCCAGCACCCCATAGTGCTCTGATGTCTCAGGGCACAAGTGAAATGCCACGGTGAGGACAGATGGGCAGATAGGTGGGTAAACTACTGGCTGGGTGGTCAAGCTTGGAGATGTTGCAAGTGTCACGTTCCAGCTGGGTGCTGGTGCCAGGCATGGAACTGCAGTGCTTGGCCGGTGATATGTCTGGGTTAGCACCTTCATCTACAACCAGGAAAGAACACAGTTTGTCAGGTGTTCAGATGATGCCAAATGGTGTGATGCCACCAGTAGGCTCCAGAGCAGAGCAGTAACATGGAGGCACTGTATTTGTGCTTAATTAGATGCTGCTATTTTTGGTCTGTGTTTTGGCCCAGCCACCTTTGAGAGTCTGTTCTTTTCCTGCCAAATTATGTGAAAACAAGCACTGATAAATGAGAACTCCGTCCTTGAAGGAAGTATTTTGTATAAACTGAAATAATTTGGGGCCTCACTATTGGCCAATGGCCCTCCAAGGGCATTTGAAGAAGAAAGTGAAGAGGAATGTGATGAAGTAAGCCCCCAGGCTAATTTAGAAAAGACCCCCTGAGGCACAGCACGTAGGTGCAGGCAAATTCCAGTGTACACACGCATGCGTAAAAGGGGCACCACTGACATAACGGGGGGAGGGACCAAAGGCCTCTGGCTGGGCGGTGCTGGCCACACCTGCCCAGGTAGATGTCATAGGTTAATTGTATAAAAAGTAGAGAGCTCTTGCTGGGAGTGGATTCAAACTCCCCAGGGAGGACAATGTTACCTCTGCAGGGCCGCCCGCCATCCTGTGAGCCTGCCAACACTCTGGGCATGCAGCCTATGCTATGGGGAATTCTGCGGTCGGTAAGACAACCTCATAAATAATGCCTGAGTGAGTGAGGGGTTGTCCTGGGGGCTTGTTTCCCTTCTCTTTCCTGTCTCTTGGCTTCTTGTTTTGTTGGCTGCTTCTTTGTAATAAATATTGTTTTGTTGAACTTTCAACGGTGTACTGGTTTCAGTTTCGGCAATCTCCCTGCTACAGTCACCAAGGCAGACTGGGGATGTGTGAAACTTAGCAAGGGCAAACAAAAAAATCTTGCACAGAGGAAAGCAGCACTTTGCAACAAAAAGGGCTGAGGACTGTTTGGCTGCTGAAGGGACTCCAGGCACGCAGCAGACTGGAAGCTGAGCATTGGTTTGCCATGTGCACTGGCGGTGCTCACGGCAACAGCATTCTGGGCAAGAGCTGGAGGGAAGGAATTATCCCCCTCATTTGGAATTTGTAGACTCACAATGAGAACAGTTCTGTTTTGGGCCCCCCAGTACAAAAAACAATGGACCCAAGTCAGAACAAGCAATATGCAAACTGGGTATGAGAAAAATCTCCAAACTTTTCCCCCAAGAGGTCTCTCAGAGGGGCTGTGCAGTCTCCATCCTTGAGGGTTTCAAGGCCAGCCTGGGTGAAGCCCTGAGCCTTCTGGCCTGGTCTTACTGCTGATCCCGCTGTGAGAAGGGTCTTGAGACTACCTGAAGACTCTTCCATCCTGAAAAGCCCTGTTATCCTATTACTCAAAGTTTTGATTAAGGCACTACTGGAAATGTGCTGCAGAAATTTGTATGCTTCTGCCTGATGCTGTGAGCACAGTTGTAGTCAATAAGCTGTTAACAGGGAAAGAACAGGTCCCTCTCTGGAAAAGAAGTGATGCCAACAGTCCATGCAGATGAGACAACTCTGCTCTAGACCCCAGTCACCATTAAAAGACAGAGCCATGAATCTCCCTTTGAGGCCAGAGGGAGCCCTGTGGACAGCTTTCCTGTCACAAGGAAGGTCTTAATGTCTACACAAGGGACCAGGAGAAATCACATTCTGTGTTCCTCTCCCAGTCCATGACTATGGTCTCACCCTTCAGCAGCCTCCAGTGTTGCCTGCTTCCAGCCCTTGGCGTGGTATCCTACCTACTTTGTGTGGCATCATTCATGGGAAGCCACAGGGTCCCAGGAACAACCACCAACCACACCTGGGGCAGGGGACACAGCAGCGCCTGCAGCAGCTTGCACAGAGTGAACACTTCTTTTTAGCCCTCATTGTCTGGTGTCTGATGCCTTGAAGAATGAGAGTTTATATTCCTTGTAAATGCTCATTTTGTCTAGTGCATCTCTCTGTATATTCTCATCTGATTAGAGCTTTAATCGACTGTTGATTCCTCCTAGATTTGTGCCCACCTGAGGGCACAGGATCCCACAGGTTATTGAGATGCTCTATGCAGAAATTATCCCCAATAATTTGGTACTGTTGTTACTATTTGTTCACACCATGACTGTGCCCGTAATGTGCTGTCACTTTGGAAATATGGAGCAGTGTTTTCCCAGCAGCCTTTCCTTTGTCTCTGGAGAAGAGCGAGCAGGAGCAAACTCTTCTCCATCCCATCCTGTACTTGCAGCCTGGAGCATGGTACCATCCGGCTGTGCTTGATCTGTTCCAAAGAGGCAGTCCCAGGGCTGTTTGCCTCTTCAGATGGAGACAGTGCTCTCTTCTGCTTGCAGCTGTTGCTCCCTCTGTTCTCTTGACTCCCTCACATATGGGTTTGGGAGCAGAGCATCAGCTGGCTGGGAGCACACAGTGGGAAATGCAAGATTTGCAGGAATTTTACTCCCTGGCCTATGTGAGTGACTCAGAGCCCTTTCCTGAGGTGAAGTGTTTGAAAAGAGGGGCAGCTGCTGGAGTGGCCATTGACTGGTCACAGAGAGCACACTTTTACCATATTTCTCTCACCTCTGGGAGGCTGGACCTTCTCTCCAGCTTTGCTCCTCCTCGACATGGGCTCTGCAGCTGGCAGGGACCAGTGCTGCTTGCCTGGGATCTTTTCTTGGTCCTCTGTTGCTTCACACACAACCAGCCTGTTTCCAGTACTGGGT